ATCAGTTACACATTATTTTCATAAAATGCAACAACAAAATTCAAACTTTTATTCGGCAATTGACCTTGATGAAGATGGTCACATGCGCAACTCGATCTGGGCAGATGCAAGGAGTAAATGATAAACTAAACCCAAGAGAAGAATTGAACGGAGACTTTTTCCCTGGCCTCTCTCTTGCCTACTGATTTCGGTAAATCATTCACTGTTGCTTCCTGTTTTATTTAAAATATGAAGGCTATTAGTGCTCAATTTTTGTTCAACTAGATGTGTTAGTATGGCTGGTCCTCTTGTTTATTATTTTTGTCCTGATGGTTTCAATTCAAAGTGTATGTGGGGATGATCTTGAAAAAATATATATACGAGATGCCCATATGCTTTTATTGCTTTTAAATTGGGATTGGGCATAATTCTGTTGTATACATAATTTGTAAATAAGAAGTTTAAAATATGGGTAATACTATAATATATATATATATATATATACCTCAAAAAGAGTGTATCATATTATGATCAAATAACTTTATGTCATAATTTAATGGATCAAAACCAAACATCTTTAAAACATAATTAAAGACCTCTCATAACTCAATTAAAACCAATACCACTAGGAGCGGAACGATGGATTTTGTTTGGGAGGGGCTAATGTATATGCATAAAAAATATTGAATTGGTTTTGATTAAAATATAATTAAATTTAAAAGTATTTTGATTTCATAAGTTGTTCTATGGGCTTGGTAGCTTCATAAGTTGGATGTGTTTGATATATTGTAAGTGATATTGAAGTGATGTTACTATCATCTTCATGGTTTTATGTAAGAAGAATTTGATTGTTTCTTGTGGCTTGACATTGTACAAGTTACTTTTCTAATTATTGGTGTTGGTAAACCATATGTGAGCTAATTTAACTGGTAGACAAGTAATCTTAACTGTTTAGGCTCTCTTTTTTATTTATTTTTTAAAATGTGAAACCAAATGCTATTCATGATTAACACCATTGCAGTCCTACATTTAAGTTTGGAGTTTTTTTTTTTTTAATGCTTTTTCTATTATCTTCTAAATGCTGGTCACATGTTGGCAGCTGGATGTGATTGGCATTGATGAAGCTCAATTTTTTGGCGACCTTTATGATTTTTGCTGCAAGGTTGCTGACCATGATGGGAAAACTGTAATAGTTGCTGGGCTAGATGGGGACTACTTGAGGTTTTTCTTATAGATTAATTCATTTTTTTTTTCTTTTCCTTGATGCAAATTTGTGACGGGCCTTTGTTGTGGTGTTTTTGCTTGATAATATAAATATTTTTCGTATGCCCATGCCTAGGCATACACAAAATTCATGTTAAAGTCAATAAATTTGATAAATTACATTTTAAATCAATACTTTTAAATTTAATTATATTTTAATCATATAATTAATAAATAAAAGAACTATAGTAGGTTTTTCAGAAATCAAAATAGTGCATTGTTCATAGCAAGTGAGTTGTGTGCATTATATAATAGTATAAAAGTATAGATATAGATATATAATATATGTATATGTATATGTATCAACAAACTGAAAGCTGACCTAGGGTTTTTACAGCTGTAATTCCATTAAACGCCTACAATGAACCAAAAAAAAATTCAGAAAAAACTCCAAATTCAGAAAAATCGTACCTTGCCAAGTGATACAATACGCATACACCAACACCAAGTGATAAAATCGTACCTCGCATTAACGGTGTCTGATACAATACACCAATTTATTAGTAACCCTCTTTGCCTCCAAATTCAGAAAAATCGAAATCAAAACAAACAAAAATCGTACCTTGCCAAGCATCGGTAGCAAAGAGGCAAAGAGGGTTTCGGCGAGATCTGTTGCGAGGAGGAGAGGACTGAAGTGATAAAGGGGGATGAGGAAGAGGCTGTCGTGATGGCGGTGGTCGAGGGATCTGTTGAAGAAGGAGAAACAGAGAGGGTCCTGCGAGGGAGAAGAGAGGTGGTCGTGATGGCGGTGGTCGAGAGGGTTCTGTTGAAGAATAAACAGAGCGAGAGAGAGGGAGAGAGAGATAAAGAAGGAAGGAAGAGACGTGGGTGAGAGCAGAGAGGGAGAGAGAGGCGTGGGTAGGTGAGAAGGTTAAGGAAGAGAAGTGTTTGTGCGGGAAATAAATAATTCAGAGCCGTTGATATATACTGAAGATTGATCTCAGCCGTCCAATTAAATGTATCTATGAGACATTTCTATACATTTTCAAAAAATCTCTTACCTTATTATATATATATATATATACATATACACTTTGGCTTTGTCTTTGGTGACAGTCTTCACCTATATCCATCTATCTAACCCAATCATCATTGAAAGAAAAGCTCATACCCAGAGATAGATTCCAAAATGGATACCATTAAGTGTGCTTGCTTTAAGTTTTTTGAAAATTAAGTTTTTTAATTTTCGTATTTTTTTATTTTTAGTGAATATTTTTAAAATTTTAAATATTTTTTTTACTTTTTTAGATACACCTTATTTAGAAGTATCTTAAAAGTAAAAAATTTATGAAAAAATATTTTTAAAAATTAATAAATACATAAAAATATAAAAAATGTACTAAATTCTCGTATTTTTTTTTGTATTTTTGGTATTTAGTGAATTTTTAAAAGGTTTTTTTTCAATTTTTTCTTTTACTTTTTAAGTATATATATGTTAGGCATGTCTAAAAATTAAAAAAATTGCTCAAAATATTAAAAAAATTCAATAAAAAAAAAACACGAAAAATAAAGAAAGTAGAATTTTCCGAAAAGTATTTTTGAAAAATGATAACCAAGCATGCTGACTAACTTTTTTTTTATATTTTATTTCTATTTATTTATTTCTACTCTGGTTCAAAAATTTAAAGATTGAGAGGAAATGGGGTGCTCCCCTTCTAGCGGGTCCAACTTAGATTTATTAAGGGGTTGTTTAGATTGACCAAAATAAGTGTATTTTTTATTTTTTTGTAAAAAGATGTGTAAAAAAGTAGAGAGGTGATGTGATGGAAAAAAGATAAAAAGATAAAAAGATGGACTATTTTTGAGTTGCCAAACTTGGCCTAAATATTAACAGTTATATATGATTGGATTATATTTAGGGCAAATTACATATACCTTCCTCGAGGTTTAGCTAAATTATAGATATTCCCCTGAGGTTTTAGAAATTACAGATACCCTCCTGAGGTTTATATTTTCATAATAAATTGCCCCATGAGGTTTATATTTTCATAACAATTTGTCCCATAATTTGTTATGTAAATAGTACCTTCAGGGGGTATTTGTAATTTCTCAAATCTCAGGAAGTATCTATAATTTTGCTAAACCTCAAGAGGTATATGTAATTTGCCCTTATATTATTTATTTTAAAAAATAAACGATTTGAGGTTGTTATTATCTAATTGACTTTTTTTTTTTTTTTTTTTTCGTATGGCCTCGCCACTCTATTTAGAGATGTCTTGTTATTTCTAATAAAGATGATTCGTTAACAGATGGCTATTTAAGAGCGGATAACAAATGTGTTTCACTTATTGAGTAGGGTTTTATGGTCAATTCGTGTAAATGTCCTTACAATCTATTTACCCTTATAATAATGCTGTAATTATAGCATTACAATGCCCTCTACCTAAATAACAATAAAAAAGGAGTTAAGCAATTTGCTATGAATTCTTCTACAACCATTACAAAATAAACATTTCAAATTATCGAAGGATGCCTAAGATTTCCCCACTCAGAAAGGGCAACCATCTTGTCGTGTTTAAGGCATAACAAGATTCCCAAATCCAATTAACGATCTTTGGTCACACTTTTTCTTATCTCTTAAACATTGATTTGATTACAAGATTTATTTCCGACTCTCATCTTGTGAAAAAGAGAGCTTAGCACAAAGGGACACGGGAGAATATGACAAAGGATTTGGTTTTATATTTGAAACACAAGATTCATCTCGTCCGTATGCATTCAATTTGGGTTCGGGAGGTCCCTAATTAGTTCCATTCAGATAATTTGAGTCGTTCAATTTTCATAAATCTTTATGTGAAAAAAATTAAATTGATCTGATAATCGTAGCCATATGTTTTCATCATATTTCTATTATATCATACTTATTTTTCATTATTTTATTTTAGGGCAAATTACACAAATAGTCCCTATAGTTTGAGACTCGTGTCACTTTGGTCCCTGACTTTTCAATTGTGACACATTTGACCATGAATTTTGAATCTTGTTCCAAATAAGGACAATTGAAGATACCATTGTTTAATTACAAGGGCAAAATCGTTAATTTAATAAAATATGAACTAATTTGACAAAAATAAATGTCAAAAAAATATTTTTAATTTTTTAAAAATTATTTTTATCCACCAATGATAAAATTATGTAAAATTGATAAAAATCAATAAAAATTACATGATTAATTTTTTTAAATTAATTTTACATAATCATCATCCAAACACATAATAAAAATTAATTTGGTAAAATAAACAAATAAATATTTAAAAGATTTATCAATTTTACATAATTTTATTTTTAATGGGTAGAAATATTTTTTAAAAATTTAAAAATATTTGTTTGACATTTATTTTTGTCAAATTAGTTTATATTTTATCAAATTGACAATTTTATCCTTGAAAAATCTAATGATATCTTTAATTGTCCTTATTTGGAACAAGATTCAAAATTCAGAGTCAAATGTGTCACAATTGAAAAGTTAGGGACTAAAGTGACACAGATCCCAAACTATAAGGACTATTAGTGTAATTCACCCTTTATTTTATTTTCATAGATAATCTACACATAAAAATTTATTAAGATGAATGACTTAGATCATCGTAATAGAATTTGTGATAGGATTCTACATTCCCAACCTAGACACATTTCACTCTAGTGTGTGGATTGTAGAAAATATTTCCCCCTTTTATTTCTTGCATTGTTGCGTGTTTGACCTTAGATTAAGGTGTTACTTCCATGTACCCATGAACCACACAACTAATTTAATATTGGTTATATCATAATTTTTTTTTGTAATTTTTTTATTTTTATAATGGTTATCATCTTACGATGCACTAATAAGACTTAAATTCATGCATTAATGAATTGAGATATGTTTTTAAGTCATGAGATATATTGATTTTGTGCTTACATTTAAAATTCTCTCCCTTAAAAGTATATTTTATTCAAAAAATCAACTCTTTTCAATAAACATCATCCTACTACGATCCACTTAATTTGGTGTGGAATCTGCCTTTTTTTTTTTTTTTTTAATAAAAAGAAAACTAAATTTTTGTGAAAGAATCCAAACTCTTAGTTTAAATATGATAGTCATCTTAACAAATGTTATACACACATATATAAATCACTAATGCTATATCCTATCAATTTTAGACCCCTAATATCAACCCTCAATGCCATGATAAACACTCATCGGATAATTTTTATATTTTAGTGGGGTTCTCAAGTGATATGACTTATGACACATTGCTAGAGGTTAGTTTGAGGGGCCAAAATTGGAGGTCCAAAACATTTTCTTATATAAATAGATAAATAAAAATAAAAAATTTATCAAAATAAACCAATTAGAGTTGGTTGGATAGCCCCTTTCCTCTTCCCTTGTATAGTAATTAAATATATTCTATAATATTTTTACATGTATGTATTTAAAAAAAATTAATTGATGTTGTTACTTGTTAAGTAAAGTTATGAGACATGTCAACGATTCTCTATTCTTAAATTTTGATTTATTATTGTATTAATTATTGAATCATGTAAATTTTATAATATGTAAATCTGAAGACATAATATAATTTAATGATTATGAATGTATTAAGATAAAAAGACATAATAATTTAGAGACAAATTAAAATGAGAGAGACATTTAAAATGAGCATGGAAAAGTCAGTGGATTGTCATGTGACTTGCATTAAGTTCAACAGTTCACAAACAAAAGTCATATAATTCATTCATTTTTTTTCTTTTTTGGGGTCATTGTAATAACTTAATCAAAATGTAATTTGTTGACAGTCAATCCCATATTCCAGTTAATGCCTTAAGCACATTATCTAGTGACTAGATAATCTAAAAATTGACCGAGATTAGTGACCACGTAAGGATAGACAACTTAGATGTTCGCTTAAGGATTGCAAAGTAGGGGAGCCCCTACTTTTTTTTTTGGTGTAAAAAGATTATAAATAGGATTATTTTAATTATGAATATTATGAATTTTAAATAAAATTATAATATCAAAAAATTAAAATTGCAGTGTAAAAAATTATAAAAAGTTTCAATTAAATTTTTTAAACTTTAAACTTCAAGTAAGATTGAGCCGCCTTTAACCCCAAACAAAAAAGACTTCACCATGCATGTATTGAAATTGTGTGCATATAAATATATATTGTCTCCTGTTTGGAATTTCTACTATCTTCACAAAATCTCAGCTTTCACTATCACACCAACTGCAGTGAAAAAGAGAAAAGTTAGGGATCATGAAATTTTTTTCATAAAAATGATTATGAAAAATTTATGATCTTTGTATTACCTTGATTAGTGTGTGTTGCTTTATTCTAAGTGTAATTTAAGGGTCACAAAGTTTTTATAATTATTTTCATGAAAGATTTTTCAAGATACCTCACATTGCTGAGTGAAAAATCAAAGGCATACTTTAAAAGTGTAATATCAAAAATATGTACAAAGATGATAGAAGATTAACGAAAATCAAACACAACAATTTTTCTACTTGACTTAAATTATGCTGCCATATATATATATATATATGTATTTTTTCCTCACACGCTAGGATATTAGTAAGTTCGTAGTATTAGATTATATTATAACAAGTCAACATTATTTCATTAATTCAAATATGAAATCTCACCTTATTGGCATCTAAATATTTTTTTTTGAATCACTTGAATCATAACCCAAAGAAGATTTACTCGGTCGTTAATTTTAGGATATCAGAATTAGTCGAGATATACGTAAGTTGATCCGAACACTTATTTTAAAATAAAATAATAATAAAAAAAAACTCACACTTGCACCTATGTAGTTTTGCATTTACTTTTCCATTTCTCACTAATTTACAATTTTTCAAAAATCAATGCATCATAGGTTAATATATAATCTTCTGTTAATTTTAGTCTT